TATACTATAGAATATAGAAGAAAAGCCTTCACCTGTACCTACAGTCGCTTCTCATTTTCCATAACCAGAACACTGGGATCCTGTAAGCTGAAAAGCTGCTTTTGTTTTGCAGTGGCTTTCTCCCTAATCTGTCAGGCATGGAAGACTTTTATCCTCCAACAGGATTGTCTTTCACCTGCTGTCCAGCTATATGTGCCTGTTGTAAAGATATGTTTTAGTGTCGTGTACAGTGTAGTTTTCTTCCAGATCACAGCGGTACTGTCACCAAAGGGAGTGCATCTATGCAAAACCTCCGGAGCTTATCTGATAACCAGTGGATTACACAGATGTGTATCGTATAAACAAGTCCTCAGAACGGCTTTTGCTGATCTTCCACCTCCATGCCCTCCACTAAGTAACAAATGTGGATTTCTTAACCATTTAATCTTAATATCTTTAAGGTAATGCTTAAATAAATAAACTCCATCAAATCGAATCACTGGAGTTTATAGTGCTGAATTCACTCAGCTGTCCCCCGTCAATACCATACAACTACTGCCTGTTCTGCTGTGTCATAGCAGCCATTCATTTACATTAATTCATATGGAAGACATAAACACAAGTCTTTTCAATGATAATTAAAAAAAACACTGCTGTCTTTTGTTTATTTGTTTTTTCTGATGAAAACAGATTGCTGATAGATAGAAGTGAATTTGGGTCAAAATACACCAGAGACAACGCAGCTAGTGTCTGCATAACGAAGTGTTGTTTTTGTCTTGTAATTAACATAGCGGCAGAGATGATTTGCAAAGAAGTTCATTTGTGGAAACGGAGTCGAGGGAACAATAAATCAAACTCATTTTTTTTGTGTCAACTTGGTTTACATACTGTAATACAGACAGTTCACATTTTTCATTTGGACGGTGTTTTCCAATAAATATAATGCTTCTTCTGACTAAGTGGGGATTCGGACAAAAAGCAGTCCTGTGTTCTGACACAAAGTAACAGATTCTTTGTTTAAAGATTAACTAGAAAAGCAAAAGGTAAACATTTGGTCTGTAAATTATGCGCTCATTTTATATTTCTGCCGTGATCATGACACAAGAAAAATCATGGTGACAACAGAGAAAACATATGGGCGTGGCTTACATAAGGTGTTTTGATGTGCTCAGGTAAGAGCATGCTTCAGAAGGTGCCCTGTTTCACCTGTTGTGAAAAGACAGATGCCCAAAAACTGTTAACTTTCTGATTTAAACATGCTCGATGTTGCAAGTGCTACACCACTCTTTCACTGATAAAATTTCAACACTGTCTACTCATTTTTCTGCTTATATTTATTGCCAAGAATTTGATGGAAATTAAGTTTTACATTCTAAGGAGGGCATGCTTTCCAGTTTCTTAGAATAAACAGTTTTTAAGTCTCTCGGTTTTCTCCATCTCTGCTGTTATTTACAGTTTTTAAGGGTATTTTGGCTTTCTACAGCTAGTCCCAACCTTACAGAAATGTTGCAAATGCTTATTTGGGTGTAAGACGTGGCAGAGTGCGAAATCTCCTCAGACAGAACATTCATGGTTTGTGATCCGTAAACAAACCGCATCTTGTAATTTGCTCACCCGTGACATTAACCTCTCTTCCAGTGCGCCTACTGTTCTAGCGTGAAGATGTAAATTACGTTTGAGAAATGGGACATGCCTTTAGGTAAACCAAGTGAGCAAGAGGTTTTAGGATACTCCTCATGCTGCCACACTTAAAGCCCATGTATAGCCACCTTTAGCCCAAGCCTCAACGCTAGCAACGAATCACTATAAAAAGAGCCTTTTATTTATAGTTGGAATCCTTGACAGGGCTGTTTCTACTTATCTTTCAGGGTGCAGTCCCCAGTCTTTCCGCCTCACATTTTCAACATTGTCAGAGCTCCCATCAGCCTCATCTTTTATCACTGTACCGCGCTGTCATTTCTCTAAATATCAGTGATGGTTTTTAACGTGTGGCTGTAAGTAACCAGCTGCAGAGATGCACCAAAGTCTTTTCTTTCTCATAAAATCCAGCTGAAAACTTTTTCCATCCAGTAATGGAGAAAATACTCCCCCCTGTCGTGCACGGAGCCGCAGCTTCATCTGCTACAGCATGCGTTCCTTCTGTGTTTGTATTTCAAAGCATTTTTTCGTTGCAAGTAATCTAACACTTTAACTTTCTTAAGAGGCCAGTAGTGTGATTATTTGACTTTGCAACGCTACAGAAGATTACTTTTGTCCAATTAATGCCCATTGATTGAGCTGACCTTCAGTTGTGTCTAGTTTAAGCTGAGATAGTGAAATGAACTTGGCGAATAGTGATTTTCTCCCTCTCCCTCCTCTGTCATCAGAGGACGGGGCGCTGTCATCAGTGTAATAGTAAATTCTATCAGCAGTAAGCTGTAATCAGTGTGGAGGAAGAGGCGAGGCCTAAGGATGTGTATTGATTTCTTGTTTGCTTGGCGAAAATGTCAGAGACACACAGAGGACATGAAAACAGAAGACTGATGCAGAAAGTAACACGTCTGATTTGCATGCTGCTTTTTAATTCAAAATCTGAAAAGCAGCATATCAACCAAAGTGCACCCAGATAGTTTACTGTAATAAATTTAACATCCATAAGGTGGAAATGCACAGAGCACATAATTTGATACAGAATATAAATGATAGTGACAGTAACCTTTATGTAGATTCAATTAGGGGGGGAAATATCTCTTAAGACTGGAATCAAAAATGTCAATTTAAGACATGAGAGATGGTTTAAACCTTTTGAAAGGGTAATTGAGGAGAGCCTCTAAGGGACCTGCAATATGGCCTGAGCAGGATGCAATGCTTTAAAATTAAACAAAATGACCTTAAATTAAATTTTGTCTGCAGCGACTGATGGTAAGCCAGCATCAGGAGGATATGGTTTGTTTTGCCTCTAGTATTTATCTAAGCAGAAGTTGAGCATTGTCATGATGGGAAGTGCATGTCTGATGTATTGAGGTTAAGTGATCATAAAGGTGTGGCTTTGATTTTTAAAAGAGTTTTTTGCAGTTTCGTCCTCATTTTGTTTCATTATAAATTCAGTCACTTCTGTTACATCTGTGCTCTTTATCCAGTCCTAAAGGTCACTCACTGCTTAGGCAGAGACACCGTTTAAGGAGAAGTATGACAGTCAAAGAGTGATGATGTGAAATCTGTGGGAGAACTTTGCAGCAAATATTGTTGTACAAGTGTAACTTCAAGGGGGGTAGACTTTTTGACTTCACCAGATTTGACTGTTTATTCTACAGATCCATATATATATATATATATATTTTTATATATATATATATATTATATATATAGATATATATATATATAATATATATATAATATTACTATACTTATATACTATATATATATATATATTTTTTTTTTTTTTTCTTTTAACTCTTGTGACCTTTGAAGCTCGATAGGTCCCTGGAGGTGTTTACTAAAGGACTTTGGTTTAGTTCAGCTCAGGTCATTATGAGATGGACTTAAAAAAAAAGAAAAAGAAGCTCCCACCTGGCACTAACCCACTACCAATGACTGTCTGCTCTTCACTAGTTCAATTATATTTAGAAATTAAAGAAAGTTGCAGTTTAAAATACAAGATTTATTTTTAGTTTGGTTATAAAATTTTATTTAAGATAATCGTAATTGTAGTAACTGTGTTTCTTGGGCAGGAGCTATAACTTTCCGGAGTCCCTGCTGGTTGCTTGGCAACTGCTGCTGGCCAAGAAGTAGCCCAGCATATATGTAAGCTTCTGTGGGAGTTAAAAAGCTATAACATTATTATTAGTTAGATTTAAAGGTTCTGCTTTGTGGATTCTGTGATCTGAGCCAGGCGAGCTACTTCAGACGTGATGTGGACTTAAGCTGGCTCTTACTGCATGGAAAGCTCAACATATTGTACTACCCCTTCATATGCAGGTGTCCTGATTAGAGGAGTTTGAGTTGCAGTGAAGACCACAATTGACTCGATGCAAAAGAGAAGGGAAAAATAAAAATCAGTTAGACTACACAAAATTATTTTTTCCTTCACATTGTTCAGTCTTAATTACAACATGAATGCACCAGCTCTGTCTTCAGGTGCTCGTGACTCATCCACGGCAACACGGCCTCCTCACCAGACAAAAGTAGGCAAAACTCTGTGTTTGACACAAATTACAACATGTCATCTATTTAGGGAAAATTGTTCCAAGCAGCTTTCACTCAGGTTTATCTGGAGTTTGATGATCTGGTGAGAGAATCACTGGAGAACAGTAGCACTTTACACTCTCCAGGCACTTACAAACTGTGATGTTCACCATAAAGCTTTACTGTTATATGCTAGATTGTATCTTTTACTAGTTTCTCTTGGTTATGTTCTGACTTTTTTTTTAGTACAATAATGACCTCATTCCATTTATCTACTCAGTGCAAGTGCTATTAATGTGAATCAGCTGACTTTACTCATTTGTAAAATTGAAGTCATTGTAAAAGATCAGAGCAGTTATGTTACTCACATGCACTTAAGTAACCACTTTAGTCAGCTCTCTCCATTAAAGCGATTGTAAACGAGGAACAAGGTTTCAGTGATGGCGGTATGGGATTACAGATTTCTCCTGCACACAGCTGATGTCGCGGCCATGTGTTTGGAACCACGGGATAAAAAGAAAGCTCACACAGCAGTGCGATCCTTGTGGTAAACTTTTCACCGTCTATAAATTTCAAACAGATGCTTGCAAAAAGAAAAACAAACTCACACTATAGTTTCTTTCCTTCTTCCTCCAGTTGCTCAGATGAAAACACCTTTTTTATAAAAATGTCTGATGCAGTCCTGCTTTATTATAAAGGCAGATTTTAGGTGTGTGCAAGGTGGTTGCTTTTTAACCTAGAGCATAAAGAGCAGGCTGCTGGTGTATAATAGCAGACGTTAAGCATAAATGTATTTGCAGGCTACTCTGACTCTAATGAGAGTCTTCTAATGAGTTGTTTTTGTTTGTGCTGTACAGGCAGGTTGTGATAATGCGCTGCCTGGCTGCTCGGGTGAACTACAAGACCCTCATCGTTATCTGCGCCCTCTTCACACTCATCACTGTGTTGCTGTGGAACCGCTGCTCTAGTGACACCTCCATACGCTTCCTGCCCCGTGCTGCCCCGGTGGCCACGAGTTCTCAGATCGGCGATGCTAGCATCAGCAGCCAGCAGCATCCCCCGCAACCTCCCGAGCCCCCGCCTGTTGTCGGAGTTGTCGGGGGGATCAAGTATGAAGAAATTGACTGCTTAATCAATGATGAATCGACTGTCAAAGGCCGGCGAGAGGGGGGAGAAGTCTACCTGCCCTTCTCTTGGGTGGAAAAGTACTTTGAGGTGTACGGCAAAATAGTGCAGTACGATGGCTACGATCGTTTTGAGTTTCAGCACAGCTATTCAAAGGTTTACGCCCAGCGAGAACCTTACCACCCCAATGGAGTCTTCATGTCGTTTGAGGGGTACAACGTGGAGGTCCGTGACCGGGTCAAGTGTATCAGTGGAGTGGAAGGTAAGTCTTGTTTGTTTAGGTTTCGATTGCACGCAGGTTTCAGGTTTTCAATTCCTAATAGAAGTGCTCATGCATCTGAATATTAATGTTCTTTCTGTTGTTGAGATCCTACTGAACCAAGGCTTTGCACAAGTAGTGTCTGATGTGTGCAGCCAAAATGAGAAGCTCATCTCATAAGAAAAAAATCAAACAGACAAAAAACTCTTTAAAAAAAAAAAAACCCCAAACAAACATCTCAGAGAAATGTGTAATTTGCTTAATTAAGCATATTGCTGTAAAATGGCACATTGTAAATCACCTGTTTAAACTGTGAGAAAGTGAGCTGAGACTTGATTAGCAAGATGGGCCAGATTTCAAAAAGATTTCCAGAGCACCTTCTCACTCTCTGCCACCCGGTTCCAAACATCTTTTGCCTTTCTTTAACACCAACACTGTTAAATAGGATTTGTGTCGAATCCATTAAAAATGTTTCTTTTCGTCACTCATTGTCAGTATTAGTCTGTATTGATACAAGCAGCTGGGGGTCTGTTAAGTGACCATATCTGTCCATGTTCCTCTATGCTTCTGGTCTGTCCTGAAAGCTGTTTTCTTTTGAAGGTTCCTTTTAAGATAATGGCCAGGAAAGATCAATAGCTCATTTTAAAAGCCTATTAGTTGAAACCACTGTGTCATCAATATAGGTCTGTTCCTCGCTTGCTTGAAGAAGTGGCTCTTTGTACTTGCTTGAAATTACAAAATAGATATTTATTATCTTTCTTATTTTGTCAAATAGCTGCAGGCACAAAAAAGGGGGAAAGGAGATTGTGTCGGCTATGAACACAGAATATGTTGTTTGTTTTTCCCCCAAAACATAATCTTATAAATCCAGACATATCAGTGTTCTTATTGGAAATGACAGAAGCAGGAGGTAAAGGATTCACAGTTTTGAGTCCTTTACCCATCTGAGAAGAAAGCTCTTGTGGTGGCGGGTAAATAAATGTAAGGAGGAAATGTTCAGTAGCAAAATGTCTGGTAAGCTTGATGAATAATGATGGCTACTGTCTGTGAGAGCAGTGTCACAGCAGCAAATTAGTTTTTTGTTTGTTTTTTTAACTTGTGGCTGTAGCTGCTGAAATGGAAAGTGCAAATTCCCACATTTTATTTTATTTTATTTTTTTACATCACGATTGAAGTCTTCCCCCCCCTCCCTCTTTCATTGAGACTTATTTTAAATTCTTATTTCAAATTCTTCATAAACTCTTTAAGAGATTGTGCTTCAAGCAAAACAGTAGAGAATAATGACATTAAAAGGCTTGGGTAGGTCAGAAGGTCACATTTAAAGCAATAATTCTGTTATGTTTATTTGGTTTTCAGCAATTTCTCTTTTGTTTTTATTAGCTCTGCAACTTAGCAATATTTTAGTTATCAAATTAAATAATTTATTATTTTCTCAGTTTGTCCACAAAGCACAGTGAGTTGCATTCAAAGCACTTGTTTTGAGAGCCTGACCGATGCTGGCTGGGGGTTATAGAAACCAATTTTTAAGTACTAAAAATAATTCAGTGCATTCAGTATCAGGTTATGTGTCCTATATACAGTCATGTAAAAAGAGAGAAAAATGATTCAGTGGCTTGCAAAACCACCTTTAGAAGCAATAATTTTGAATCATTTTGAACATGCTAATTGAGGCCTGTAGAGTCAGAGTTGTAGCTTTTGGGTTTATGCAGTTTTTCTGAGCGTTATACAGTCTAACTGTCCACTAGATTTGAAGGGATATCCACCCCTGGGTAGATTGTGGCATTGTGTTAACCACCTAAATACTTTTTTTTTTTTTTTTTTTTTAAAGAAGGCTCACATTTGCTGATCAGTTAATCAGCTTCATTTGATCACCATTTCCTATAGAAGCAGTACTTAGTTGGCTACTGTCTGATCTGTCTAATCCTGAAGTTAGTTGTTCAGCTGTATGTATGTATGTTGATATATGCAGGACAAGCACATACTTACTGCACACACAATTTACCAAGGTCATTTAATGAAGCTCTAGGCTTCTTACTGTTTGTGCTTTTACATGTGAAGGAATAAACACCAGTGTTCTACTAAACATTTTTACAGGTGAAAATAGGCGTTCATTAATTAGCCTGTTACATTTAGATTTACCACAGGGCTTAAACAAGGTCATGAAAGATTTTTCCTCAGTGCACCCCTGTTAACCATGAAAAGGTTATTTAACAGCACCAGTGTTTTCATAGAGATTTTACTCAGGCAGGCCTGACCAAGTATATTTAGTGGCCTATTTTAGCCTTTTTTCTTTTTTTTTTTTCATTCTTATTTTAGAATCTGGCCAAGTGAATGAGCCCATCCACAATCTAGTCTTTCCCATATATCGATTTATTTGAGGCAGCTCACCACACTGACTGTGGTGACTGGAGTACTGACTGGAATTTTTTCCCCCACTATTTAAAGGTGAGACGGGTGGAAAAACTAAAGGAGAAACTTGACCTGACCTTAAACATACATGGGGGCACGTGAGGGGATAAAGTGGTTCTCTTATGGTGTGGGGTCTATTTGATGGTTTGGGTCCTCTTGGTGCCTTAGAGGAGAGAGTCACTGCAAATTATTACAAAGGACATTGGTTGATTTGCCACACCGAGCTCACCACCCTACACAAAACAAAATTCATTTACAGACCCTCACACATTAACGTTATTTATCAATAGGAGGTTTGTTATGTTATAGAATAGTAACTTTATAATTAAGACTGGTTATGAGCAATATAAATAGCCAACACAGCAGGAGACTTTTGCTAATTTGTGCATGGAAACAAATTGAAAGCATTTTAGAAAGGTAGATCGCCCCCCCCCCCCCCCCCCCTCATTAATGTTGTATTATTTCACTCACTCACAACTCATCTGCTGCTAATCAGATGCTATTAATCATGTTAATTTTTATGACCTGGCCCACCCGCTCTGCTGATTAACTGCAGTGCCGGAGGATGTTACTGCGATCAGCACATCACTTTCAGCTTGTGATGAGATGGCTGACTGCCGTCGCCAGCTGCAGCCCAAGACAAAGAGGACGCAGCTGAGTATATTGATAAGTAATGCATTTGTCAGAGTACACAGTCACAAAACCCATTGGCTATCTTCTCATGATTTAGCCACAAGGGACATCAGCCAGTGTTTCAGGGCTTCAATTGCGACCATCCAATGACAGATAACGACTATCTGGGACAAAACGTCCAGTTTCATATGCTGGTGAGATTTACAGTCCAACTATGAATGCAGGCGTATTTTAAAAGGCATTAACTGATCTTCTTTGTTTGTTTTTTTTACTCAAGACTGAACATTTAGTTGCTTGCATACAGAGACTGCTTAAATGTTGTGCGTCAATAAATCCTGACATGCAAGTGGAAATTCTTTTTGGCTTCCTTGCTTACAGATAGTAAACACAAAATGCAGTTTTTAAATTAAGGTGTTTATAATTAAGGGGGAAAAATACAAACCCACATGGCCCTGTGTGAAAAACTGACTTCTTCTAAACCTAATGACTGGTTGGTCCACCCTTAGCAGCAACAACCGCAATCAAGCATTTGCGATAACTAGCAAAGAGTCTTTTACAGCGCTGTACAGCGGTCCCTCGTTTATCGCGGGAGTTGCATTCCAAAAATAACCCGCAATAGGTGGAATAAGCGAAGTAGCCAACTTTATTTTTTTCAATTATTATAGACGTTTTAAGGCTGTAAAACACCGGACTACACACTTTATAGACGTTTCTCAGACAGGCAGGAACATTTTCACACTTTTCTCTCTTGTTTAAACTCAAAGTTCAAACCTTCGTGGAAAAATAAGTCCAGTATTATAGAATGAAACCAAAGACACTTTTGTTGTTTGTTGGGGAGAAAACTTACAAACATACAGTGCAGCACTTCAGAGTCACACTGCTAGTGACCGAAGATTTATGTAATTTGACAAGCTGAACTCATTCTGTACTGTACAGAAGACACTGCATGCGATTGATTGACAATGGTCTACAGCCACTCAAGACCCAGAACACAAAGCGCTGTAAGAAAGGAAAAAAAAAAGCATGTAAAATTCCACCCCAAAAAATCAGTGAAATGGCGAAAGGTGAACCGCGTTATAGCGAGGGACCACTGCGCAGGAATTTTGGCCCACATTGGAAGGTTTTCAAGCATAATCTGCCTTTTTAAGGTTGTGCCACAGCACCTCAATTGGATTCAGGTCAGGACTTTAACTAGGTCGCTCCAAAGTATTCATTTAGTTTTTCTAAAGCCATTCAGCCTTTACTGGTGTGTTTTGGTCACAAACAGATGGCCGGATATTCTCCTTCAAGATGTTTTGGTAGACAGCCAGAATTCATGGTACCATGGTACCATTACCAGGTCCTGAGGCAGCCCAGACTACCACCACCACAATATTTTATCACAATATTAGCTTTTGTCACATCAGTCCAGAGTATTTTCGCAGATCTCTCAGGGATCATCAAGATATTTTTTTTTTTGGGGGGGGGCGGGCAATGTGAGATGAGTCTTTGTGTTCTTTTTGGTCAGCAGTGCTTTTCTCCTTGAACTCCCTTTTTCCTAATCTCTTTCTTATTGTTGATTCATGAACTTTGACCTTAACTGAGACATTTGAAAGCCTGTGGTTCTTTAATGATGTTCTGGGGTCTTTTGTGACCTCCTGGATGAGTTGTCATTGTCCTCTTTGAGTAATTTTGGTTGGCTGTCCACTCCTAGAAGGTTTCACCACTGTTTCAGATTTTCTCCATTTGTATATAACGGCTCTCACCATGATTCACTGAAGTCCCAAAACCTTAGAAATGACTTTGTAACCCTTGCCAAACTGGTAGATGTCAGTGACTTTGTTTCCCAGGTGTTTCTTTAGATCGTGGCATGAGGTGCTGCTTTCGGAGATCTTTTAGCCATCTTCACTTTGTCAGACAGGTTCTGTTTAAGTGATTTCTTGATTCAGCAGGTCTTTCAGTAATCAGGTTTGAGTGTCTTTAGTGAAACTAAACTCAGCTTTCCAAAGAATGTGGGTAATTAGAGTTAATTCATGATTTAACAAGAGGAGGGATTACTTTTTCAAACAAGACCAGATAGGTTTGGATAACTTTTCTCCCTTAATCAATGAAATCTTCATTTAAAAACTGCAATATGTATTTACTCTTGTCATCGATGTCTAATATTAAAATTTGTTTGATCATCTCAAACATGTAAGTGTGGCAAATATTCAATATACTAGGAAATCGGGACAGGGGCAAAAAATTTTCACACCACGGTAGTTATAATACTCTGCAGTAACACAATCTTAAATCACGTTCTGTCTAATTTTTGTCTGGTATATTTTTTCCACCTTCCACTATCCTCTCCTATGTTGATTGTTTTGGTGCAGACCAACGTCACTCCAATATATGCACAAGAAAAGAGCCCTTAAAAAATAAAAAAATATATATAGTAGGGGTGCAACGATACTCGTATCGATATTGAACCGTTCGATACAGTGCTTTCGGTTCGGTACTCATATGTATGAACAATACAAAATTTTTAATTTATATTATCAACTTTTCTTCTGACGATGCTGTCTGTGTTGAGCGCTCAGTGGATCTGCGTTCGACTACTCCGCCTAGGCTACACTGTCGAGCGCAGGTCCACTGAGCGCAGCACAAGCTAGTAAGGCAGAAGCTAAGCTCGTTGCAACATGGCAAATTGAACCTCCCCCACCCTCATTCAGATCTGGCATTTGGAACTATTTTGGTCTTCATGTGAAGTATGACCCTGAAGGTAAGCGCGTTATGGACTAAAGTAAAACAGTATGTTGGATGTGCCACGCAATGCTCAATTACATGGGTGGGAACTAGTGTGTTAGCGCAGTTAGCTCATTAATGTGTTGGCCGTCTAGCCCCATGCACGGGGCGATCCGCGGTAGCTCTTTAACGGAGATTTGCCGTGTTGTGGCGTTAAGGTCATTTCAACGAGATTAACGCTGACAGCACTAGTGGGAACACAACGAATATGACTGCACATTTACGCCGACATCATCCTAGTGCAAAGACAAGTGGAAGCAGACAAAAACAACATGCATGCTACAAACTTTACCCGAGTCATTTAGACAGCGTTAGCACATGATTCTCCTTATATGTTTAATATGCTGCTGAGAATATAGCCCAGAAGAAGCGTATAGTATATCTTTTATTTTGGAAAGAGCCATTTCTCTGTAATAAACTCTTTTCCAAAGATGAGTGATTCCTCAATCAGATAGATTAATTATTTTATTACTTTGTTGTTTCAACAACATTAAATTTAAAAACTGTACTTTTGAGTTAAAAATATATATTTATAATTTTAATAAATGACAAATTAAAAAAGCATGAACATTTTTTTGTATCGAAAAAATATCGAACTGTGACACCAAAGTATCGAACTGAACCGTTTTATGACCTTTTCAAACAGCCATTTTATTACTTGCACACTGTGCCCATACGTACGTGACACTTGATATATTTTACCTAGCACCTGCGCACACTCACTAATAGATACTTCTACTACTTGGATGAATTTTCTCTGAAAAGAATCTAGTATATTGGTGCAAACCAGTGTGATGTATCAGACAGTTAGTCCACAGAAGCCATAATATAATTCACTCAAGTAGACTGAACAATTTGATCTGTGTCCTGCCAAATTAAATCAAAATACAGTTTGGAGTCATTCTTTTGATCTGTGTAATTATCCACCAGCCTTCCACCTACAGCATATGCTGCATTTAGAGCAGGTTCTTATACACACTTTCAGAAATTGTAATGTCCATGTGAATAAACAGAAAATCATTTCCCTTAAGTGCTTCTTGATGTATTCAGCTCAAATACACAGCCATGATGCAAAAGTTAAAGCTGCATTAAGCTTTTTTTAGTTATCATACAGTAGAATTGCAACAAAACCTCACAGAAACACAACCTTAATATATCATTCATTTATTAAGTTGTTAGTAACTGTTTTCTACTTTATTTAAGCTCCCAGCAGAAAAGGAGCAACATGAAAATCCCACTGACATCATATTTTTGACGCTCTGAGAAAGAAAGCACTTGAATATTCAGATCTATTTATTTTCTTTAGCTCCGCTTTAGGCAACCACCAACTCCTGAGGAAAACATCTTTACCTTTAGCTCCTACATGCTGAATGTTCTCCATCAATGTACTTTGGCTGTCTTGACAGTGAGTTATTCTGAGGTGTTTTATAAAAGAAATATTTCATTTAGACAAAGCTAAAATCTGCAAAAGTGCTTGAAATCCCTCTAAGTTCAGCACAACAGCAAGTTACAAATTACCGGCGGTGGTTCACTGTTTAATATTAAAGAAATGCTCAGTGGAGCTTACATATTCCTGACCTGGTAGAGGTCAAAAACAAAGCTTTTGTTTGGTTTTTTTAAATGAGAGAAAAAAAATTGTATCAGTTTTCCTCTCCGTGTAAATTCCAGTAGGCGTCGAGCCTCAGAGCCTACTGCAATTTACAGACCAATCTTTTTCTAGAAAAGTCTGCTCTTTGGAGTCAGCAAAATATATGGAGGCTTAACAGTCATTTCCATATGGATTACTTGGTGTTATGCAGTGGGTAGCACAGCGTTAGGATTTTGACAGTCATTTTCCTTAAGTTGTCAAGGGAGATGCCGGTAACAAGCCAGGCAGGGAGTTAAGGCATGGAAGTGTGTGTGTGGGAATGTATAAATGCATGCAAGCTGTCTTTCTGGGCTCTTATTTATGGACAGTATAGTGAATATCAGTTCTTGGGGCATCGCTGCATCCTTTGTGCTTGTCTCCTGACAGGTTATTAACAGAGTTCAGAGCATTGTTGGGTCAAAGACACCACATGAACTTGTTCAGTGCCTCCTAACTTGTTTTTACTGCCATCCAAACTTAAGAGGAGGAGGATAATTGGAGCAGTCAGATGGCACGTATTCATTGAAGCCATGTGCCCCCGATTAATGTTAGCTATTAAAAATATTTTAGTCATGCATGTTGCGACCCACTAATGCGCGAACTTTTTAACACAAGAAAAATGAAGTGCATCGTGATAAAGCTGTTATAAAGCATAACTGTTAATTTAAGCGTGCCTCACAGGGTTCAAAGCACGTAATTGAGTGGTATGGGTGGGGGTGTTGGCGGAAGAGCTTTAGCTCTGCTTGACCTGCTGCAGCAAGGACGGACTGCTCACACAACTTATTGATGGCCACTTCTATGTCACGTTGACTTTTGAAAGGGAAACCATGAGTGCAGGCACGTGGAAAATCCTCTGTGGATCGGAGTGAATGTGTGCAGCTAGGCTGCGCTGGAAACACTGCGGGGAGCAGCTGAAAATTGTGCCACATTTTCTGCCTGTCAGTGTGACTGCCAGTCTGCAGTTAAGAAGAAGAATTCTCTCTGAAATAATTCTTCACACTTACGCACATGCAGCCCATGAAATGTAAGCTATTAATCTCTTAAGAGCTATTTGTGTCAAGTTTTCTGCGTGCAGAAGTAGACTCTAAACAGAACATGTGGTCAGACCCCTGCGAGTGTGCTTCGTAATGGATGGGCAGCCATTGGTTACTAATACCTGTGTTTTTGAATAGAACATCAATAAGTCCTTGTTGCTGCATTAACTCCTGGTGCAGTGTTTGGGAGCCCCGTGCGGAGGATCAATCGAGGTGGAGAGGTTTCGATAAATCTCCTTGCTGCCAAGTAAAAGGAAGAATTGTGTGTTGAATAAAAGGAGAATAATTAGAGTTTCTTTGTGTATTTAATGGGGGTAAGAACTGAAAGAGTGCTGCATGATCCTACTTTGACCAGAGTGTGCCTGTATGTGTGCAAATGGATTCTTTCCTTTCTACGTGCGTGAATAATCACCCATTGTCTTTTTAACTGCTGTTGAAATTGCCTGCTCTTTTTTTTTTCCTTCTTATTTGTGAGCTGAGTTTTATGTGCACAGGGTCCTAAAAAGTCATTTCAGTCATAAAAAGATTGAGCTTCCTTCCTGAGTTGGTGTTGGGCAGCTGGACTTCTACACTGTACAAGAGGAGATGCTAAAATGGACTTGCTATGTATGCGGTGGTGATTAGTTTAGAAGGAGGCGGCGTATTGTCAGCCCTAATCTGAGTTTATTACATTCTTCTTAGAAAGATGGGGTTTGGGTAGCACGTGTGCATTCCCTGTCACAAGGTCTTAAAATGAGCTATCTGTTAATCAGAGTGATTCTCCTGGCTGAGCTATTTTTGGCTGCATGAACATGGAAGCTCGCCTCCAGTGAAATGCAATAGATTAGGTTGAATTTCACCACACCGTCTAATCATTTATTGTAGCTGGTGGCATTTATTTTCTAACCTTTTTCTTCTTCTCTTAAACAATTTTTTTTGTTTTGTTTTACTAAAGGTATTTTTTTTTATTGCCCTAGTCGGCCTCTAGTCTCCAGGAGATGAGAAGTTCTAAAATTTATAGTGTTTGTATTAATATTTAATTTTGGACCAGTTTCTTTTTATACTGTGGTTATGAACTCGGTGTCATGCTGCACTTAACAGATTTAGTCATTCTTCAACAAAGTTTAAAAAAAAAAAGTAAGGCAATGTTATGACAAGTGTCATCTTAAAAAGAACATCTGCTTGAAATAAACTGCAAAGAGCTTAAAAGAAAACCCAGCTTATCATGTCAGCCAAGATTAAGAACCATCGCTGTGCTTCATAAAAGTTCCAGCCAGTTTTAAAGCGACTGCACTTCTTGCATATCAGGCTATTTCCAGTATTTATTTAACATTAATATCCTCCTTTTCTTCCTTCTTTCTTTCCACCCAGGCGTGCCTCTGTCCACTCAGTGGGGCCCTCAGGGCTACTTTTACGCCATCCAGATTTCCCAGTACGGTTTGAGCCATTACAGCAAAAACCTGACCGAGCGCGCTCCCCACGTTGATGTCTATGACACGGCCGAGGAGAGGGACAGCCGAGCCAACGCCGCGACCTGGAGTGTACCGAAAGGTTGCGGGCTCAGCCGCGTCTATGACAAGACCAGGGCTACCTCCGTGCGGCAGTTCAGCGCTCCAGGTATTTAAGCCTTCCATTAGCCCAGATGGCCTCTGGGCAAGAAGCTTATCTCGTGTTAACTGTGGCTGTAGCAAGCATCCCCTGAGGACAGGATGATAGTCTGCAGTGAGTCAGCGCCACAGGAAGAGTACGCTGACAGGCTGTCTGGTCTGACAGTGGACCCACAGCATAATGATATTCTTAGACAGTGTGATGGTTAAAGAAGCACACATTTCATCCTGTTTTGTCCTATTAATCAGACACTGAAATTGCAGCTGGTGTTAGAGACAAAAACATTTTGATGAGATTAGTTCAGTTTTTTCCCTCTCTGGTAAAATATAAATATGTAAATGTAGGTGTTGAAATGGAACTTCACCATCTTTATTAGTCGCAGGCAAAATAAAGCCATTATAGGTTATTGTGTTCTTTGTAAGGACTTGTTTTATGTCACTTTTTGTTAACACAAGAGTACTTATACCATTTAAAAAGGAGCTATTTCCTGCCAGGACCTGTTGTAGCAGTCAGTATAAAAAGTATCAGTTTTAGCCGATTCAAAGTACATTTCTACTAGACTGTATGTGGGTATTTCCATTGCATGTGTTAATAAACATATGTAGAATAGATTAACCCTTTAATGCTGATTTGCCTACTATATTAGCACCAGCATTAATAGCTGTGAAGCTAATGGTAGTTCACTATGCTGCAGTGGCAAGCTAGTGTCACTGAGTGGTCATCAGATAACTGTCACTGTCAGAAGTGATGTATTAATGATTTTATCACTGTTGCCCAGAGTTTATTCATCAACAATTAGTTTTTTAACGCTTAATTAAAATGTATTTTAGTAACACAGTACTAGCAGTATCATAACAGAATGTGTTATTAATAATCTATGAAGGCTCGTGATAAGTGAAGGCTACCGAAGACGTTTTCTTTGTTTGTTGTCGAGGTTTCAGTGAGATTTGAATGTTGCAGTAAGAACCGCAGCAGAGACTGATGAATATTAACATATACTGCCTATTTCTCCATAAGTGCTTAGTTAATAGGGCTTCAGAAAATGGAGAATTTCATCACTTGTAATAAAACAGACTGAATAATGGGGCTGTCCTTGCTGCCATTTCGCACTGTTTCAACTATGAGGAATCTAATTTCATTCAGCTCACTCACTCATATGGCCTTCTCTCTTATGCATCTAAAAATTGATCTATAAAAAGGGGTAAAAAAGAAAAAGGAACAAGTCTCCCACTTCATGTTTTTACATTGTTCCAAACAGAGTTGTATTGAGGGCTGCAGCATGTGGTGGGTATGGATAAGATACTGCAAGTTTGAGCAGGCGACTCTTATTCTCACCGTGTGGTTGACTTGGAGGAGACGCGGTGCCATTTAGGGAGAAATAAATTGCTGTTACATCTGCTTCAGAGTATGCCTGAATAATTTCATATATGCATATTTAGACTGAAATTGTTGATCTAAGAGTGCTTAGACTGTAGCTTGTATTATCATTTATTAACTCTCTGTGACGTATTTACTCAACTCTTGTCATGTTCGTGTTAATCCTGTGAGTCGGCAAATTAAGAAAAAAAAAGGAGACTCTGCTGGTGCTTGATTAATGTGCTCTTCTGTGTAGCTTTACACTCAGTTTTAGATTCTTTGTAGAAGTACAAACATTAACAAACGACCTTATGTTTGTTTCAGATAAGCTTGCAGGTAGCACAAAGTTATTGGATTTAACACTGTAAAGAAAACTAGTGAGCACAGATGCTCCCACAGAACCATTAATCTTATGATTTAATACTTGTCACAAATATGTTAGTACATTTATTTCAAATTGTTTCAGTTTGTTATTTTATTTTTTTTGCAAGAGTTTATAGTTTAAAATTGGAAGTGTGAGAATAGTCTGAGAATCCTAGGGGATGATAAATATAGAGGATCCCTTGGGAATGCTGCAATATGGGCGTCTTTCTCGACACTATACTTTACTATCGAAGACAGCACTGCACCTGAGATGTTCACTCTGTAGCATACCTTATTCCAACGACGATCTAACAACAAGCACAAAATACACAGTGTGAAACGGCAGCTATGCACTGGCTGTTGTAAAAGTCACATTTGCAGAGTATCTCTATAATAAAAGCATCAACCACTGACACAAATAATATTCCCAGGAAAAGCAGGATTTGCACGGGCTAATGTTCATTTAGGTTAACTGTAAGGTAGCAGAGCATGAAACGGTGGTCTCAGCTAAGCCTGGGGACTTTAAAAGTGTTCTTTTGCTTTGGGATTCACACTGATGCTCAAATAAATACTCTTACCAGCTTGATAAATGTTTCATTTCTTGTGTCTAAAACGAAAAAAAAAAAACCATCAGCTGATAGGAGATTTTTAAGTCGCCAAATATAAGATAAGATAAACTTTAATATCAGTAATGGTCTTAAAACTTGGTCAGGCTCTATTGTTAACACATGATCAGACTCTAGACAGTGTGCAGTGTTTTCTGTTATTATGTTGTGAAACAGGAAATGCAGCACCTCTGTGCATCTTTCGAGTGGTAAATTAAAGCTCTACTCATCAGATTGGTTGTTACAGTAAAGATTGGAGATCTTGGCCTAGTTTTAGAGCTTTAAAGTGACCGAGGCCAGGAGATAGCTGGCAGAGTTATTTTGGGGATTGGAAGAAGTCAACATCTTATACCCGGTGCTGACTGTGAGCTGTCTTTATTCTCCTCTGATCTCCTGCTGATGTTTCCAGGACACACTCTCCGTCCCGTCCTCTGCCGAGCTCCTGTCTCTACAGTAATCCCCCCCCCCTTCTTCCACTTTCAACCTCTCATCATCACCAATTTCTTTTTTTCCACCACCCTCCACTTTTTCCCCCCTGCTGCTTGCTCACTTTGCTTTAAAGCTGAGCTCACCATTATTGCTCTTTCCTACCTTGACTTCATGTTATCATGATCATTTCTCACTAAGTAGCCTTCATTCTCCATTTATCTTCCCTGTCTAATCCAGATTTCTGTCAGTCTTCCACCTCTGTTGACTTATTTCCACCCACTTATCGCCCCTCAGCACTGCTGTGCTTCCTAAACATTGCAGTCATATTTCCCCAATCCATTCTGATGCCTTATTCTTGTCTCTCATCAAACTTTCCTCATTTTCTTCCTCTGCTGTCAGTTTTCCTTTCTGTCTCTGCCTCCCTACACTTCCTCCTCCTACTCCCTTCTTCCTGTTGCAGTCCTTCTTTTTTTCTTTCCTCCTTACTGTATCTAGGGCACGAGTGTTGAGCAATCTCTCCAAGCCTCTGACAACTGGATCAATCGTCAGTCCCCTGATAATAACCTACCATCCACCATCTGCACTTTCCTGCCCAAACGCTGTCTGCCACTGAGCACCTTTATTTTCTCAATCCCCTTGTGGTTGGTTGATAGTTCAGAAATGCACTTTGTTCCCCTGATAAGGTGGAATCACGCTATCAAAGAAAAATAGCTTTTGTGGTGTGTGCAGACGACCCTGCGCGGGTATCTGTGGTACCATCTGCACGGCAACTTTGGCATGAACAGTGCCATCCTTTGTGACCGCAACGAGTCACCCTTCACCACTCGTTCAATCGAGGAAAAGCGAGTTAGCCTGTGTCTGTGTCTGAGTTTCCAGACTTGTACTGTATCATTACTGTCATGTTGAGACCGGTTAAAGAGCAGCCTAGTCCCTCGGCAAAAGAGCAGCGACTACATACACTTACTAGTTTTGCTACAGAAACGGTGTTACTCATGAGAAATGGCTAATAGCTACACTGCTTGTAGGATAAGCATTATGGTTGACATGTCTCGGATTAGTACAGAGCCATGGTTTCACTTTAGTAAATACTTAATAATAATGTATGTAGATGGAGTGGAAGAACAGCTAACATCAGCTACATGAGGTTTAGTGATGATACTGAACCACAGTCGGCTTACTTTGTCTTTTTTTTAAATGTATGAACACAAAATATCCTTTAAAGAATTTTTCTTCCTTTTTCAACCAAACCCAGTCAGTGATCTAATAAATATGTCAGTCAATAATAACTGCTACCACAATCTGATTTCATGCTTCGAACAGAACAAGTAGTTTTTCCCAGATCAGCGGGGATCATTTAGGTTGGTTAACTTCCAGCAGCTGCTCTTAGCTCCGTTACATCCTTGCAAATCTTGGTGCTTTTTGTTTTTATTTTAATTGTTATAGTCCTATTTTGTGGGCGCTCTTGATGAGAAGTCGCCCACCTCTTGTCTGATGGCTGAATGTGAGGCTGCAGAGATAAGAGATGTGGCGTTTGCATTTGAGCAGCTTAAAAACAACTCTGATAGAGGTGAAGGAGACTGAACTGTAAACGGTGGATTCGACATCAAAAGCGGTAGCGCCGGGTCACAGGCGTGAAACCTCTTTCTTTGAATCCTTTGTGGATTATTAAGCAATCTGAACCCATCACAGGAAAAAGAATGCAACTATACCGAGAGATTATCCTGCATGTAAATACTTTGAGGTGGTGTTGCAGAGAAAGGTGTGATTTTCAAAAAAGTCTTTAGAATTGTATCTTTTCATATCAAAGTCAACAGTGTCTGTCGTGGCTGAATATTTATCGAGATCTTCTTGGGTCTTGGAAAAAAGCTGTTTGCTCACAATCCCCGTGCAAAATAACACAAAGTTTCAAAGAAGAATGGTGCAGGGGAATTTCAGAGCATTAGGTGTAAAGCTGCTGAAGAGCTTTCTGCACAGACTGAAGACTGAAGTAACCAAAGAGGAATTTTCTCACAGTTTGGGGGAAAAAAACTGACTGATTAATCAATATCGGAAAAAAAAAACTGTTTGCAGTCCTAAATACATTAAAACTTTCCAAAAAAACCACCCCTTATTATTGTTTTTTAATTAAATTTGCTGTTTTAGCTGTGCATGTGCTGTAGTGATGGAAAAATCACACTTCCATCGACTGTTGTCTTGTCACTTGTCAGGTCTTTTGTTGTCCGCACATGTACTGCAGGCACTGTGCACGCTTTCAAGTGTTCGTCTCACACACTCGGTCATGTACACAAGCGTGATTTACACAGGCGTATTTCTAGCCGCGTGTCATCCCCGTCTCCAGACTTATTGCTAAACAGCTAGGGAGCCCGAGCGGTGGAGGTGGAATCTCGTCTATATTCCCTGCCCATCCTTTATTGATGGCAGAGTAATCACAGGGCCAGAGTACAAATCCACTTACTCTCTGCATTGCCTTAAGTAATGGATTTATGAGTGCATTAAAGAGCCGTAGTCATCCAGAGGCCCCTGCCAGACTGTCTCTCTCCTTCATTCTCTTCCTGATCGACTGTCTTTGAGCCTCACTAGGCCTCATCTGCTTCTGCTTTCTCAGCGTATGTGATGTGAGATCTCTCCGTCTTCTGATTTCAATTGTCTCCTCACTATTGGCTCATTTTCACCCTCTCCCATCTAGGCCTGGCTTTAAGAGCTCTTGTGTGAGCCATCACTCCATTACTCTCCTTTTCCTTGACTTTTTGACCCTTTCTCTTCTTTATCCTTGGAGGAGCCTCGATTAGAAAACATTCTCCTCGTTTTTTTTGTTGTTTTTCTGCTGTGCACACCAAAGAGTAAGGCAAAAGCAGAGATCATTCTTGAACCGCTCGCTGCTTCGGGGTCTTGAAATGAAGTCGGAGCTGAACTATAGTGACACAAAGGTGATCCAGTGTCAGAGGTGGCAGTGTGGAAAGTAAAAATCATCCGAGTTTCTACTTAAGCTCTGACTGGAGGAGATGCGGGGATGCAAATAGAGAAGTTGCAGTATATCAACTTCTTCTTTCACTCTGTTGTTCCCTCATGCTGCTCCTCTATTCCTTTCCACACTGTCTTCTCTCTCCTCTCTGTCCTCCTTATTAAGCTCAGTGTGCAGAGACACAGCCGTACTGCACATCCCAGGAGAAGCTCGTGTGTGTGTGTGTGTGTGTGCACTCTCTCTCTCACACACACACAAACAGCAAGGAACATCACATGGGTAATAATACAAAATCCAGGGTAGTTAAAATGTTAAGCTTCTGACCAGTGATTGATTTTAAAGTAGGCTCATTGTTATTGATCATTGAGAGTATTAAAAAAGGGGAAAAAAAAGATGAGCCATTATATAAACAGACCACCAGAGGAGTGTATTAAGAGACAGACTCTGATTTAAAAAGCTTCCAGTAAACTAAAAATAGCACGTTATCAGCCAGTAATCATCAAGTTCTTAAAGAAGTCAGTCAAATGAGACCAAGTGTCTTTGAATAAATGTTTTTTCTCCCGCAATTTTGACTTATTTATCTGCTGCACCCACCCCACTCACTTCCCATTACCACAGACTCCTCCGAAGGCGTGTCCCTCCAGATGGGCAACTCCAAAGACTTCATCCTCAGCTTGGACCTCAAGTTTATCTCCAACGGCAGCGTGTCTGTAATCCTTGAAACCACAGAGAAGGGCCCTCCCTTCACAATCCACTACGTGACCAGCACACAGCTCATCGCCTTCAGAGAGCGTGACATCACCTACGGGATTGGACCGCGAACCGCTTGGAGCACTCTGACCCGGGATCTGCTCACCGACCTCAGGAAGGGCGTCGGGCTGTCCAACACAAAGGCTGTTAAGGCCACAAAGGTCCGTTCAACTCAAAGCGCTGGTTCAAAAAGCACCTCTGCTCAAATATTTGTGGTCTAGTGACGATGCACTTGCAGCTGGGATAATTAGTTGATTAGTTGAACTGGCAGCTCTCATTTTAAAAGCAAAAGTTCCACAAAAAAAACCTTTAATGTACTTTTTGTACATTTTTCACTACTTTCTCACATTTTATAGAAAACAGTCCATTAAGGAAATATAGTTACATTTACGGTGATGTATGCATTTCATTATCAAAGCTACTTACAAGTCTTTGCCACTTGTATTGTGTCAGAGGGTTTCTTTGTGTTAGATTTAACTCCATGTATGTGAACTAAATACTGTTATTATTTGGCTTTATGAAGACTAAATCTGCAGTGTGTAGAACTCATGAATGCCAAGTCCTAACTCCCTTCATCTACTGTCTCTTTTCAGATTATGCCCAGACGTGTGGTGCGATTAGTCCTGCATGGGCGTGGATTTGTTGACAACATCACCATCTCCACCACTGCGCACATGGCCGCCTTCTTTGCCGCCAGCGACTGGCTGCTGCGCAACCAGGACGAGCGAGGCGGATGGCCTATCATGGTCACCCGTAAACTAGGCGAAGGCTTCAGACCTCTGGAGCCCGGCTGGTACTCGGCCATGGCTCAGGGCCAGGCCATGTCCACCCTTGTGAGAGCCTACCTCCTCACCAAGGACCAGGCGTACCTCAACGCTGCCCTGAAGGCAGTAGGACCTTATAAGGTGCCTTCAGCACAGCATGGGGTCAAAGCTGTGTTCATGAACAAGTATGACTGGTATGAAGAATACCCCACCACACCCAGCTCCTTTGTGCTCAACGGCTTCATCTACTCCCTGCTGGGGCTCTACGACTTGACTGAGACAGCTGGAGAGAAGCTCGGCAGGGAGGCAGGGCAGCTGTTCAGCCGCGGCATGGAGTCACTGAAGGCCATGCTGCCGCTCTTTGACACCGGGTCTGGGAGCATTTATGACCTGCGTCACTTCATGTTGGGCACTGCGCCCAACTTGGCTCGCTGGGACTATCACACCACACACATTAATCAGCTACAGCTGCTGGCATCCATAGACAACTCTCCCATCTTCAAGGATGTGGTCAAGCGCTGGAAAACCTACTTAAAGGGGATTCGTGCCAAGCACAATTAGACTAAACTCCAACCCACACACTATAAAGGCTGAGATGAGAAGAAGATCGATATATTCTGTGCGACTGAAGGAATGAATGAGCGGCCTATGCTCGCGTGCACGTCCTCGATCTGGTTGAAGTCCAAAATCTGAAGTATGAGTTTAATCAGCTGAAGCTCTCAATACTCTCTCGTGTGCTCTGTTGCAGGTTTTTTAATTTCTGCAACATCCACTGTAGCTCTCCTCTCCCTGTTTCTTTTCTTTTCCTTCACCTCTTGAGTTAGTGTTTGTAGTTATGCACAAACCTCATTTCAAAGTGAGAGTGTCTGCATTCAGGAAGAAAGTGTGCATGTGTTCGTGCGTGTGTGCGTGCGTTTTTAAAAAGAATATATGACATTGGTGAAAGATTAAAAACTCTGTGAATCACATTTCAGACATTCTTCGATGCATCCAGCACATTTTTCTTCTGCAATAGTATTTTTTTTAACGTCATTTCAGATTAAAGTTTATTAAAACAAACTGTATATAACAGAATATATTATAAATTATTTGAAGGAGAACGTTGCCAAAAAACAAAAAAGCGCATCTTTTCAATATATAAGAAGCATTCGAATATTTCACCACAACAACATTTTTAATGCAAACCCTTCAATACTAAACAGTTTTAAATTACAACGCAGGACTTTGTTTTTAAGTGTCTCACATTTAATGTTTGGTTAGAGATGTTTATTAGAGAATTCATCCCTTTGTGGAAATGCTAGAAAATCAAACGTTTTATGATTCTGTCTAAACACAGATTAATGTTAGCCAATAATTATAGTATTATGTCTTTAGTAGATTTATCTTTTCCCCTCTAAAGTAAATGTGAGGCTTCTGTTAAGCTGCTTGAAAGCTCTCTGAGTAATAATCGAGCTAGTTCTCAGTAGCAATGTGATTGTTCCTGTGGTATTCACTGAGATAAATCAATGCAGCCCTGCAATAATGCTTAAAAATGAGGAAGTTATCATAATTAGCTGTAGCTTCTGTAATGTTGCTACCTGTATCCGATGGTCAGGCAGTGATACCACCGTGTAACCGTTTTTGTTCAAGGTTGCAACTTCACATATGATTAACTTTGAGTTCAGCGTGTTTATTAACACATGTGTGTCCCATGTGAGAAATCCCAGCTGGCTGAATTTAAGACCAGGATAAATGCTCGCTTCTTTTCAGCTGCACAATCTAAAGTTTTGTTTCAAAAAGAAAAACTGTGTTTCCTACTTACACGCGTGATCGCAGGCCTGAACGAGGCTAAACATTTAATACTAGATTAACCAAGAGGCATCAGTTAAAAGGTGATACTAATGTGAAACTTTAAATGCCAGACTCCAGCTCCCCACGTCATTGTTATAATTTCAGATCTGTGTTTTTTGCTTGGTGTGAATATCAGCACCGTCAGTCGTAGCCACATTTTAATTCATTCTTGTGCCCACCCCCCTCGTTCCCCTCCTCCTTTTTGACCTTTTCAGCTCGTTGTTTACTCGGGAACTCGTCTGAAAAGCCTTTCTTCTGTAACTCATACTTGGAACATGATAATTGCAGGATACAAGCGTAGGTGGTGTAGATGTCTCTGTTGTGTATTGGAGGAGATGAACGTGGGCAGCAGAAGCACAGCTGCATCTCACTACAATGTTAATTCACACCATTTAAATAGACAATGCCAGGAAGTACTAAAGCTGGAGGTAAATTCCTGACGAGCATGCAAAGGCTCGGTCCCAGCAGGCTCTCGTTGCTCCTCTCAGCCGCTGCGAGTGCATGAACTCGGCGTTTTTAATCTGAGCGCTGCCCTGTTGACCGCCGAGCGCAGAGAAAGAGGCCTGCCTGCGCTCTAACAATTCACCCGGCTAATAGGCTGGAGAGCCTGTTCACGGTACAGTCGCTGCTCACGGATGAGTCGGCGTTCACCGGCATCGTACTCACAAACAACACAAAGCGGAGCCCTCAGCAGCAATGAGGCTTTCATTGATCCAGCTTTGAAGATTTAAAGAAGCTGCAGATTGGTTTCTTCTGAATCCTGTTTAAAAATATATATATATAACGCCAGTTTTTTGAGACAAAAATCGTTTTCCCACAAAGGCAGCGTTTCAGGTTGTTTGAGTTTGCACTGGCAGGACAAAAATACATCCAAGTTCCCTTTTTCCAAACTGATTAACAAATCCTGACTTGAGTAGAAAAGCAGAACACAATAATGCACATTTAAACATCAAGTTTAATCACAAAAAACGTTTGGTTCTCAAAATAATGGTTCTAATGTGTAAGCATGTCTCTAATCTATTTGTTATATAACCCTGCTTTGTCATTTATTGTTTTTGTACTCTTGTTTTATAATTGAAAAATTACAACTGTGTCCAATAAAGAGGGAACCTTATAACTTTTAACATTTATTTTCCATCAATCTTTTTTTTTAAAAAAAATGATGATTATATTAATTTTTATTCATTTTTCTCCTTTATAGGTTGTGGGAATGTTTATACCATAAAAGATGTTTGAGATCTTTGGATAATCTGTTAGGGTTTTTCATTTTGTTGTTGTTGTTGTTGTTGTTGTTTTTGCTGATTCTAGTTTTCTTTACTTCCTGTTGGCTTTTTCTTCCTGTAAACACTTGCATAATTTATACACGACGAGCAGAAATATGTCCGTTGAAGGCGGGAGTGGGGAGGGGGGGTAACGTTCAGGAGTAGAAGTCTTTGTGTGAGAATAACGAGCTCCATGTTGTTTATACCAAAGTCATTGATTCGAGTGTATTTGTATATTTTTGTGCAAAAACCGACTTCCATTCAGCTTTTTAATGATGTAAAGTCTCCTTGGAGATGTCATGGAGAGACACTGCCTTTTGAGAAATGCTACTTTTTCAGATGTAGGTTGAGTAGATATGTAAATGCTTATTGTAAAAGGGGTTGTGTGCAACTAGAGATTAGTGTTTAGTAAGCTACTGTTTAAAGGGAAATGAGCCAATAGCTGCAGGTTCTCCTTGAGTTTTTTTATTTTATTTAATTTTATTTCTTTTTTTCCTCTGCAGAGGAATAAGAGTTTTTCTAGTTAGACAAAAGCACAACTGTCGATTATCGTCACATGAGTTTAGTTGTATTTCTCTTTTATGGATTACTTTTTTCCTTTTCAGGACAATGTGCAACGCCTTCATTAAGAAAGCTGCTATTGTTATTCACTGTGTAACAGGTATGAGAGCTTCTTTCTCCTCATTTCAGTGGTACCCTCTCCTCTGTCTCTACACTCCTTGTTTCAACACGTCAGCAAATGGCCACTGAGGTCAAATGTGATTTATGCAATAAAATGTTTACTGGGGTCGTGACACCACGAGAGACCCAGAGTTGTTGTACAGACTTTGCAACCGAAGCACAATGTGCAAATGCTACCATTTTTTTAGTCCAATGAAGAGAGGTGTTTATATACAGAGTAAATCTTTGTGCTTTAAGGTTTTGCTTTTTAAAGATGTAAAAAATAATAATAATAAAAAAAAAATCAATAAATAAAAGCATTTTTTTTTCTTAAATTCCTGGTTTGTTTTGTTTTTCAGAGGTTTGACATGAACACAGCAGCCTAATGAAGAATAGATAAAGAATAGATATGTCTAATGAAGCTATAGATTTATGCAATTATCAATCAGTTGTCGATAAATGGTGATCGGTTTTAGCCATTTATCAGTTTCTAGATTTCTAGAAAATATAAAAACATTTATTGGTTGTAGCTTTTCATTTCTGACACTTTTATATTTTTTTTTCCCTCATATTTGATTAACAACTGAATATATTTGATTTGTAACGTAAAGATGGCACCATGGACTTCAAGAAATTAGAACAGTGGATCCATGGAAATCAGTAGAGATGCAAATAAATTAATAGTTATTATATTAAAAGTTACAATTTCAATAATTGAATATTTATAATTATATCTTAAGGATACATCTAAATTGTATTCTAAGGAGTATTATTTTGCAATAGAAAATGAAAAATAGAGCCTGCAAACACTTGCTGACATTCATGTTATTTTGGCATGTTGCCTAGACTAGCACACCCACAGCAACAAGATTGCCCGACAGCAGCAGCTTTCTCAGCAAGTTCGTTCGCTGTGCCGTCTCTTACAATCTCAGGAGCAGGTCGGGGAACACAAAGAACCACCAGATGCACGTCTGATCGACGGTATGTGCTAAACAAGCCCAGCGCACACCGAGAGGTTCCATGTCCATACAACAATGACTCCAAATGATTATCCTACAGCTACACTGGGGGGGATATGATGCATTGTAACCACAATAATTTGGGGTCAGTCTGCTATTGGTTTCTGGATAAAAGGGGTGAAGTTGCCAAATACAGTGATTAACTGTGATAACTCAGGGAAATCGCAAATCTAACGCAAGTAGAACCTGTCTGACGAAAGCGAAGCAGGTTAAAAGATCCTCAAACGCATCATCTCACAATCTAAAGAAGCAGCTCAGAAAACAAAGTCAGTGACCTCTATCATCTGGAAAGGGTGACAAAGTCATTTCTAAGGCTTTGGGACTCCAGTGAATTTCAGTGAGAGCCATTATACACAAAGAGAAAAAGACATCAAAGACACTCCCAGAGTGCATCAACGACTCATCCACGAGGTCACAAAAGATCCCAGAACAACATTAAAGAAGTGCAGGCCTCACTTCAACCAGTTAAGGTCAGAGTTTATAATCCAACAATAAGAAAGAGACTGAGCGAAAATGACAAAAAAATCTTGATGATCCTCTGGGAAAATACTTTGGAAACTGAGTCCTGGTGTAAAATTAACACAGCATTTCATAAAAAGAACATTATATCACCAGTCAAACATGGTGGTGGTAGCATGATGGTCTGAGGCTGCTTTGCTGCTTCAGGACTTGGACGACTTGCTGGAAATCGAACTCTGGATGGCTCAAAAAAGAAAAGTCAGGAAGTCCAGAATTAAATCAGATTAAGACACAAACCTTAAACACGCCCCTCGTGTTTGAAAACTCTCCACAGTGACTGAATTAAAGCAATTCTGCAAAGAAAAGTGGGACAAAATTCCTCCACATCATTATGAAAGACTCGTTGCCAGTTACTTGAACACTTGATTGCAATTCTTGCTGCCATAACTGGCGCAACCAGTTATCAGGTTTAGGGGGCAACTACTTTGTCATGATAAAATTACAAGTAGGTTTGGGTAACTTTTTTCCCTTAATACATGAAATCATCATTTAAAAACTGCATTTTGTGTTTTTGTAGGTTTTTTTTATTTTTTATCCAATATCGAAATGAATTTGATGATCTGAAACATGTAAATGTGGCATATATACAAAAAACTAAGAAATCTGAAAGTGGGCAAATACTTTTTCGCAGCACTGCATGCCAGCATGAAACTAATTAAGTTGGAATTACTGAGTCGCAACGAAAAATTCTGTTCAGGTGAAACCAGACCAGCGGGACTGATTTGATCATCAGTGTAACCATTTAGTCCATCACTCAAGCCTGCACCCCACTAATGTCATTTCTGCCTGCTCGGGTCTAATGACAAACCCTCCTGTATAATTTAATTGTGCGCCTCATAATCAAACCACCTGCTCTGCCATCCTCTGTATTAACATCTCTAATTTCTGATTCGCTGTCATCAGAGAGGGTTGAGTGGCTTTTAACTAGTTCCCAGTTATTCCAGATATACTCCAGTGCCAGATTGTACATGTCAACTGACGCTTCGGCTCCTCTCGATACTTTGAGTGACACTCCACACCCGATCAGATCTTTTCCTTTGAACGACTTTACCTGACGCCTCTGGTAAAGTTGCTGTTTGTATCAGAGCTCTTTCGAACATTTCTAACTCAACTTCACACATTATTATGGGTGACAGGCATTTCTGACTGTATTATAGAAACAGTTTATCCATACTGAACACGGTCTCTGTGAAACTGCTGGGAAGGAAAACAATCCTGATTAATTATTAATCCTAATTAGGCTATTCTGATCCAGTGAAAAAGCGCAGACACCTGAGAAGGACTGTATCTCCTGCCACCCGCTTGCATTTTTCATTACCTTTTGGCATTAATACAATCCACCCATAATTTCTCCCTCACTACCCCACACGTCACATTCCTCCTCTTTTCTTGACGCTAATGATGTTACTGTGCCTCCTGACAGAGTCTGTCTCCCAGTCCTGTAATTAGCCCTACATAAACCCGATAAGCTCGGCCTCTTCACGGCCTTTGTATCAGCCTCTTCTACCTCCTCTGCTGCCATTCAGATGCCTTTGAGATGCCCATGATAAAATTACAGTGAATACTTGGTACTCTGGCGCCCAGAAGCCACAGGCTTTATAGTGTCCATAAATTTACCCACTTGATGAAATTAACACACCGTTGAACCCTGCATTATTGGATTTGTTTGTGTGTTGTCTGGGTTCTCAGGGGAGGTGGGAAAAGAAAAGAAATGGAGGTGGAAATATCGAGCTGAAAGAAAACAGAAACAATGCAACAGTGCAACTTCAAAACTTCCACGGGGTTTGTAGTCTTTTACACGTTGATTGAAATACTTATGTACATGCTGGAAACAGCACTCGGAGATTCTGGTCCATCTACTGATATCCTAAA